ATTACTCAATATGCTAGATCCATCCCGCAAAAACCTTCCCTACTGAGAGACTTAACGCAATTTGAACTTCTATGCACGCAGGACAGGGAACCTCCTCGTGCCATCTCACAAATCTACACTATCTTAATCACGAGCAGATATCTACTAGCACCCCCGTGCATCAGAAAATGGGAGGAGGACCTTGAGGAACCTATGACAGACGCGGACTGGGACAAGAGCATTACCCTAATACAAAAGACTCCGAGCTCGGCACGCTCCCAAGAAAACTCTTACAAGATCTTTACTAGATGGTATCTGACGCCAACGGCGCTACACGCCAGAAACCAGGAACTCGAAGACACATGCTGGAGATGCGGGGAGGAAGCTGGTACGTTTATACATATATGGTGGACGTGCACTCGCATCAGACCGTTCTGGGACAGAATTAGGACAATCATACACGAGGTCACGGAGGAGCTCCTGCCACAGTCCCCAGCCGCCTTCCTCTTACACCACACCACCATGGCGACACAAACATACAAGAGATCGGCTATCCCTCGACTTCTGAATGCAGCTAAGGTGACCATCCCCATCTTCTGGAAACAGACCAGCACACCTCCCATAAGGAGATGGATAGAGGAGGTGGAAGCCACGAGATCATTCGAGGACTTGAAAGCAGAAACCCCGAACCTCAGGGACCGATATACCAAACGCTGGTTCCACTGGATGAGACTGATCTCGTCAGACTCCTTCCGGCACCATCTAACCACACCGTAACTAGTGACAGGAGGAAGGGACCTAGGGAGACACAGGAGGCGAAAAGATGACGGGGCACAACGAGCCGGGCGGGGGACAGGGGGCGGGACACAGGACACATGGCCCACCCGACCCGATCCCACACACAGACGTCACAGCGACTGCCACTGCTGACTAAGACAGCCACGACGCCCGCAGACATGATGGCATACACGTGCCACACACATAACCACCGGCCAGGCCGCAACCGCTCGAGGGATGGCTAGTTATACAGCCCTCACATGAACAGATGACAGATAACACGCCGCACACTAGACCCACCACTTTGCCGCACCTTACCTCTGGACGAACAAGACATAGAATGACTACAAAATCAGGTGACAGACCAGACAATGGAGTCACAATGACAGAGGGCCAAAGGTGTCAGACACACCACTCGAAGTAACACACGATCATACATGCACGACACAGACACGAGAGACCACGAATCACATACACGCAGACCACGCCAACAGACCGCTCCACATCCTCGGACACCACTGCAGGACATATACGAGACGTCAAATACGACAGCAGAGAACTCATACTCTGACGTTAGGACACGACAGAGTTGTTAACCTCGCGACATAGACACAAGTCGATGGACATTTAAGCCGGAGAGGAGGGGAAGACATAGCCGACACAACACTGAACGTAACCCAAGCAACACACATCACACATGCGACATGCACACAACAGAGGAGACGCAACGACTGACCCAACTCACGTGAACAACGCTAAAGGGCCAACACTAACTACAGCGGCTACAGTAACTGACCACCCCAAAAAGATACACTGCTCCATGCAACATAGTGAGGGACCACATCCTACACTAATATAGGTATAGGCAAACACATACAGAGAAACACCCTAAGGGTCGTTACAGACCTGTTCAAGCACTACCGTGTCGCTCACGGACAATACCTAACCACTACGCTTCTCCCCAAGATATACACCGATACAGCGACTATTTAAATGCAGTTACGCAACACTCAACCGGGTCTCGCAAAGGCAACAAGACGCCAGCTAGATACAAAATGTTGACTACAACCACAATGTTTAGGATGTAATAAGTTAGTGAGGTTGCCTGTACACCGCACTGTTATTAGAGCTGACACATAGTCTGTTCCCCCTACTCTATATGCTTACTCTAAAACGACATACAGACGCCTAGAGGGTAAATGCCTAAAAATGTTACTGTATTAAACGCTATACAACATCTGGTGGGTACACAAAGCCTCTGCGAAGGCCACAACCTGTGAACCTGTTCATGCAAATATAACCGGGCCTCCACGCAGGCACGGACCCGCCACTTTAACACTACGTTTGCAATGTACTATGCTAGGAATCTAACAACTAGATGCCACGGATAAGAATATATGGCACATAGCAAAGAAAGGTGAACAACAATGTCACGCTAAACGGCCCTCTGCGCAGGCAACCGAATGTTTCCACCGTTATAAATTGATGCTTAAGCCCCTGCGCGGGCAATCACTTGCTTCGTTATTTGACAAAACAGTTTGATACATGCATCCATGTTATGAATACAATAAAAATATTTAAAACAAAAACGCAAAGTATAACAATGCCTATTCTAGATGTGATAATGCTGGAAATTGTGATCCCTCCCACCCCCTCACATTCCCTTTTATTCTCTGTACCCTACCCCCAACCTTTGTTACTTTGTTGAAAATGACAATAAAAATCGTCAAATTGAAAAAAAATACACATTATTTTGGTTATTGAAAATGCTATTTTATAATTTTTTTTTATTTAGCAAGCCAATGTATTTTAACTGTATTCTCATTACATAATCAATAGATTTGTCTTCACTACCAAAATGTGCCTCGGAATTGTAACACATGCACATAATCTCAGAACTCTACTAGAAATTCCACTTCAGATACATGGATGGATTTTAGCCATGAATGCAGAAAATTTGGTTTGACCAAAAGCTGAGGACCCAGAGGCTCAGCACTCTCATATACCATACTGATAATATGGAAGGCCTTATTCCAAATTACCAAGACTAATTTTGGATTCATTTGGATGAGAAGATCATCTGAAACACTTAGCCCATCAATGCCATTCAAATATGTACGAAAATTGATACTGTGATATTACAAGTGGGGACCAGGTGACCAGACTTTGTTCAAATTGACTGACATGGTCTTGCTACTCTTCCCACAGTACTCACTGAACTGGGTGAGTTATTTAGTTACTCTCCCCCTTTCACAGCAATACCAGTGCAAAATAGTGCTGGTGGGATTCTTCACAACGGCCATGCTGTGACTTGCATCATCTGCATACTCAATTGATTCAATAGGGATGCATATGCCCAACAGAGCACAAGTTATAACAGAGGTGGGTGGAACGATACAATATTGATGCTGGTAATTTGTGTACGACTCAGAAAGTGGTGTTCCCCAGACACCCCTATTTAAGGCAACTATGGGTGCAGTATCATTGCTCAAACATTCCTGTACATTGATTTACTCCTAAATTAGTTGTCGACTCTTTTGCACAGTTCTAATGAACCTATGCCTCCCTGACTTACTGACTGCCTGACTTGACAATACTTTTGGATTCATCTTGCCTGTTACCTTACAACTCCACTCAGCCATCACTTCCTGCATCAATTTCCACAATGTCAAACTTTGACCTTGGCCTAGAACAGGTTTATGATACTATTAGCCTAATGACACTATAAATAATAATAATAATAATTTTATAATTTATAGTTAAATCCCCCTCTTATAATATTGTAAAGCGCTACGGAATCTGTTGGCGCTATATAATGGCAATAATAATAATAATAACCACCACCGATGGGTGTAAAGATTTTGGTAATTAGACTTCCCTTTTAACTTACACAAAAAAAAAGACAGTGATAAACGAACTAGACCCAATGGATTGAACCAGCAATATGTAACTGGAGCTTACACCATATTTAAAACAGCAGGCCTTGTTTGGGATTGTGACCATACCCTTGAACTCACTCTAAACCACACCGCCACCAGTAAATACAGCAACACACAAACTTTTGGCAAAAGGTATAGGCCATAGCTTTATTAATTAATGGATCATGCCGGCATGTAACCTAACTTTTCCATCAGTTGTCATAAGTTCATGTTCCCATTTCTTGGACAGACACTGCTCTCCACAACCCACTGCTATTGCGGCTTATCCAATTAATCTCAAACTGGCAAGGCACCTTCCACAGCTGTGACAACAACAAAAAGGGAAAACAACGAGTAAAACATGTACTCCAAAAAAATTGTGTTAAACTAACTGTTTAGGTGATAGGCCCCCCTTCTGTAGAAAAAAGTTGATTTTTACTTATTTTTATCCCTTGCCACACTGTTCTTGCCATGGCTGAGATCATCAGTCTTGATGATTTTAGCCAATCCAATGCTTTCCTACAGGAAAACACTGGTAGACTATTGCACATGCACGTCAAAACACCACAGATCAGGAAACTATTGCACATATGTGTCAAAATGCTTAGCTGTGCCAATCAACATCGCCTCATAGAGATGCATTGAATCAGAGGTGTTACTAGGCAGAAATGCAAACAATTTAAAAGGCAGCGTTCATAGTGAAAAGTCTGCAGGGAGAGGGAGAGGCTGTAGACACCAGAACCACTACATTAATCCCTTAAGGACCAAACTTCTGGAATAAAAGGCAGTGGCGTACACATGACCCATGGGGCCCCGGTGCGAAAATTGATCCGTGGGGCCCCCCCCCCCCGCGCGCGGGCCGCAACACATGGCGGTGGGCACCTGGTCGCAGGGGTTACAGGGCTGCGACCCCTGTATGTACGCCAGTGCATGCAGATGCACACACTAAAAGGACCACTCTAGGCACCCAGACCACTTCAGCTTAATGAAGTGGTCTGGGTGCCAGGTCCAGCTAGGGTTAACCCATTTTTTCATAAACATAGCAGTTTCAGAGAAACTGCTGTGTTTATGAATGGGTTAAGCCTTCCCCTATTTCTTCTAGTGGCTGTCCCATTGACAGCCGCTAGAGGCGCTTGCGTGCTTCTCACTGTGATTTTCACAGTGAGAGCACGCCAGCGTCCATAGGAAAGCATTATGAATGCTTTCCTATGTGACCGGCTGAATGCGCGCGCAGCTCTTGCCGCGCGTGCGCATACAGCCGACGGGGAGGAGAAGAGGAGGATCGGAGGAGGAGAGCTCTCCGCCCAGCGCTGGAAAAAGGTAAGTTTTACCCCTTTCCAGAGCCGGGCGGGAGGGGGTCCCTGAGGGTGGGGGCACCCTCAGGGCACTATAGTGCCAGGAAAACGAGCGTTTTCCTGGCACTATAGTGGTCCTTTAAAGGACCACTACAGACACCCAGATCACTTCAGCTCAATGAAGTTGTCTGGGTGTCATGTCCCTCTAGTTTTAACCCTGCAGCTGAAAACATAGCAGTTTCAGAGAAACTGCTATGTTTCACTGAGGGTTAATCCAGCCTCTAGTGGCTGTCTCACTGACAGCCGCTAGAGGAGCACACTGAACGTCCATAGAAAAGCATTGAGTAATGCTTTCCTATGGGCGGTTTGAATGCGTGCGCGGTCGCATTCGGAGCTGAGAGGCTGAGGGATCCTCAGTGCCAAGGGAGTCCGGCACTGGAGAAAGGTAAGTGCTGAAGACACACACACTTACAGACGCATACACACTAGCTAACAGACACACACATTTACTGACAGAGACACAGTCAGCGACAGACATACATACACACTCACTTACAAAACATACACTCTCATTGACAAACACACACTCACTAACAGACATCAAACAGACTCACTAACACACACACTCAGTAAGACACACACAGTAACACACACACTGACACACACTAACACTCACACACACTAACACTCACTCTAACACTCACACACACTAACACTCACTCTAACACTCACTCTAACACTCACACACACTAACACTCACTCTAACACTCACACTAACACATGATTTTTTTGTTGTTTTTTTTTAAATGTAATCCCCCCAGCCTCCTTACCCTTTGGAGGGCTGGGGAGATTCCCTGGGGTCCAGTGGTGCTGCTTGGCGGGTGGCCGGTCGGGCAGGCAGGCGGGCGCGCGAGGGAGCACTCAGTGCTTCCTCTTCAGCTCCCTTGCGCGCCGCATAGGGATGCCGGAGCCGGAAGATGACGTCATCTTCCGGCTCCGGTATCATTGCGGTGCGCGAGGGGGCTGAAGAGGAAGCACTGAGTGCTCCCTCGCGCGCCCGCCTGCCTGCCCGACCGGCCACCGGGTATCAGCAGGGCCAGCCTCAGGGGGGCCCTGGGGTGGTCGGCTCCTGGGGCCCCCAGGGGAAGAGGCTGGCCCTGTGGGTACATACCGGGTCCCCTGCGACCCTGGTATGTACGCCACTGATAAAAGGGAATCATGACATGTCCCACATGTCATGTGTCCTTAAGGGGTTAAGCTGTGGTGGTTCTGTTGACTACAATGTTCCTTTAACTATTCACCATCAACCCAATTGGCCCAGGGGGTGTTCTTTCCTGTGGAAATTATTATTATGTTATTTATATAGCGCCATCAAATTCTGCAGCGCTTTACAATGGGTGGACGAACAGACATGTAGTTGTAACCAGACAATTTGGACACACAGGAACAGAGGGGTTGAGGGCCCTGCTCAATGAGCCAACATGCTAGAGGGAGTGGGGTAAAATGACACAAAAAGGTAAGGATAGTATTAGACTAGTGACAATTGCAGAAGAGGAATCAGTCAGGAGCTATTCACAGTTTTAATTGATACGCTTTTATGAAGAAGTGGGTTTTTAACGATTTTTTGAAGGAGTGGAGACTGGGTGAGCATCGAACGGAGGAGGGAAACGAGTTCCACAGGAACCCTCGAGAAATGTTGAAGGTGAGCATCAGAGGTGGGAGTACGCACAGAAGATAGACGTAAGTCTTCAGCAGATCGTAAGGGCCTAGATGGGACATACTTGTGTATAAGGGAGGATAGATAGGTGGGAGCAGCATTATGTAGTGATTTGAAAGCAAGAACCAGAATTTTAAATTGAGCTCTATATTTTATAGGAAGCCAATGTAGGGACTGACAGAAGGGTGAGGCATGGAAGGTGCGGGCGGACAGGAAGATGAGCCTCACCGCTGCATTCATTATGGACTGTAACGGTGCAAGTTGGGAACACATAAGACCACTGAGAAGCGGATTACAGTAGTCAAGGCGAGAAAGGACAGTGGAATGGACCAACACCTTAGTCGCATCTGGCGTTAAGTAGGGATGGATGCGCGCAATGTTTTTGAGATGGAAATGACAGGATTTAGCGATAGATTGAACATGAGGCTTGAAGGAGAGGTTGGAGTCAAAGAGAACACCTAGGCAGCGAGCCTGCGTGGTGGAGCTGATGGTAGTACCGTTGACTTGGAGGGAGACAGACACAGGAGCAACAACACTTGAGGGAGGAAAGACTAGAATTTCAGTTTTGGTCAAGTTTAGGAAGTGGGCAGCCATCCAGTTAGAAATAGCAGAGAGGCAGCCAGAGACACTAGTCAAGAGGGACGAGGAGAGATCAGGAGAGGACAGGTAGATTTGCGTGTCATCTGCATAGAAATTACATTGGAAGCCAAAGCAGCTAATGAGTTTACCAAGGGAGGCAGTATAGATGGAGAACAGTAGGGGACCAAGGACTGAACCTTGGGGGACACCAGCAGAGAGGAGTTTGGGAGAAAAAGCAGAGCCAGAGAAAGAAACACTGAAAGAGCGCTGGGAGAGGTAGGAGGAGCACCAGGAGAGAGTAATATCTTGTAGACTGATATTGCGGAGGATGAGAAGAAGCTGTTGATGATCAACAGTGTCAAAAGCCGCAGACAGGTCAAGGAGAATTAGGATAGAGTAGTGACCACGAGATTTTGCAGCGAGTAGATCATTGGATACTTTGGTCAGTGCCGTTTCCATAGAGTGCTTAGCGTGGAAACCAGACTAAATCGGGTCTAGCAGAGAGTTGGACTCGAGGAAGTCTGTCAATCTCGCATACACAATTCTTTCAAGGATCTTAGATGCAAAAGGCAGTAGCGAGATAGGACGATAGTTGGATGGGGAGTTAGGGTCAAGATTGGGCTTCTTTAGAATTGGGGTTACAGTTGCATGTTTGAAGGGCGATGGAAATATACCAGAGGAGAGAGAGAGATTGAGAATTTTATAGTGAGAGATGGAGAAAGAGAAGAAGACAGAGTACGGATGAGATGCAAGGGAATTGGATCTAGGGAGCAGGTGGTGGGGCGGGAGGACTGGAGCAGAGCAAAAACCTCTTCCAATGTAGCGGGTGCGAATGAACATAGAACAGTAGAGGGAGTGAAGTTAGGGGAAGTATTGTAAGGGAAAGAAAAAAGATGAGAGATCTCTTCTCTGATTGTAGAGCTCTTGTCAGTGAAGTGAGTTGCAAAGTCTGAGGCGGTCAAGTTAGTAGGTGGAGGAGGAACAGCAGGGCGAAGAAGAGAGTTAAATGTGTGAAATAGTCATTTGGGTTCATGGGAGAGTGTGGTTATGAGGGTATTGAAGTAATTAACTTTTGCAGAGGAAAGAGCCAATCTGTATGAGCTCATCTTAAATTTAATCTAGAAATGTGGCTAGGATATTAAGGGAGTGTTGAAATACAGGGATTTATTCACTAAATATTGAATTGCAGCAAATTTTAAAAGGAACTACAAAATTTATAAGCTATTTTTTCAGTTTCCAATTCACTAGAGTCCAGTATTTAGTAAATAATCTTACAATGTTTTTAGAGTTACCGTGAACAGGGCACTTCTGCAAAAATAAATGTAAAAAAAATTAAAATAAAAAATGCTAATGATACATGTATTTTGCATATTTGTATATTGGAGACTTAATACTATATTTTACAGAAGTTACAAATTAATGTGTATCCAGGGTGTGGCTGTATTGTGCAAACCACCCCGATTGCTCCCTCATTACTGTGTCATGGCTATTTCACAATCATTTGCTAATTAAAACCCTGACTCATTATTAGGCTCCACCCACCAGGTGAAGCATCCCCGGATATTGTGTGTCCTCCCACACTAGCATCATTAGTGCCACTACATTTGCAATACATAGCTAGGCCTCTGTCACCAGAGAGGCCTGTATCTACATGTCCACATCCCTAAAGCAAATCACACCATAAAAACATCAGTGGCATCCATTTTCTAATTCTCTAGGTAATGCTAAATATGTAATAAAGCTTTTATCTTGCTAAGTTAAAGTTTAGCCACTTAGAATGAAGATTGGGAAGCAAATATCATGTACAGATAAAAGTACAGAAAAATTTAATTGATCTGCAAAACACAATTTCTACAAAGTACACAAGGTGGCAGCAAAGACACACCTTGCACATTTCTTGCACAAATGTCATGAAAGGGTCACTGTAAACACTATAAAATCTTTGTATCAGCACAAAGGTTATGGTGCAGAGAGCACCCTGCTTCCTGCCTAGTGTGGCTTATAAACACAGTGATTTTCACAAATTGCTGCAGCTATAAGTCTGCACTACTAGCTCCTAGGACGTCACAGGAAGAATTATTGCTTGCTTGTGTGGTGTGCTCATATTACACACAATTTGGATTGGCTACTATCAATTTAGCATATTTTATGTGTCAATTCCCATGAGAAATTTATACCAAAATACATCCTCCATTTTGGTTTACCTGCACCCACATGACTTATTTTACAGGCTCCCCAAAAGCCAGATTTTCTGGTCAGGTCACACCGATTCAGTTCCCTGTATTTCGCTTTTAGGGACACCATAAAAACTGTACCCAGCAAGCATAGCATGAAAATATAACTAGACACTCCCGCTATATTCATTGCACTAAGGACCCTGCAGACAGCACTGAAACAGTATCGCAGCTGTGGGTAATCTACATGCTTGCCTCCCAACCGTCAATATTGGCAGGATTGTCCCACCAGCCCCTAGTGTCCCACTTTTGTGGATTATAGACACTCATTGCACGAGCGCAATGTTCAGGGCATTAGGACCCTGCAGAGAGCACCCAAACTGTGCTACCACTCAGTGGACCTGCTAAAATGATTGGCATTGTGTGTATTCGCATCAAACTGATGTTCCATTAATGTGGGTGGACCCCACCCTTTGGGGGCAGAGCTAGTGACAATCGTGCAACTGGCCAACTCTCTTTACCCCCTGTCCTGTTTCTAAGGATACCTGAGTTGGGAGGTATGCTATGACATATACCTCTATTGGACAGGTGTTTATATGATATGAAAAAATAAATCCATAGACCAGAATGAGAAGCTCCTGATTTCTGCATGTGTCTGGTCAGGGTGGGATCGTAAAAGAACAGTCCACACGTATAAAGCACTTCAGCTTGCTGGGAGAGGAATATCCGGTTTGTATTCGAGTTCATAATAGTGTCAAATCCCATGAGAAACCAGCATTTGTATAATTGGATTCTAAAAAAAAATCACCTTTGCTTCCTCCTTCCGTTA